AATGTAAATTTAATAGCATTAACATTTTCTTTTCTTTTTTTTTTTTTTTTTTCAGCAGTGTCCATCATGCTTTTGGATTGAAACGGTCAAGATATTTTATGGATACAATGTCATAGCAACACCACTTTACAACATCTGCCATTTTGTTTTCGGGCATCCTCCTCATAGCAGCTGTCTTCAGTTACCACAACCAGATGCTTATTAAACACACATTTAAGTTTCTGGTTTAGTTTAACTGCAGTGTTTCTGTCTAATTACTGTTTTTAAATGGGTGCAATGAGGAAAGTACATTTTATAAATGCTTAAAGACCAATCAGCATGCCTTAGCAGAATCCTAGCAAAGCTAGCATGTCTTGAAAACAACTAAAGTGTAGCTTTATTTCAGTTTAGATGTATTATCAGTGCTGTATTTACATTTATCTCTAAAATACAATGAGGTGTTCTTTTGGTCTAAAAGTGTAAGGTGTTATTATGCTTCTAATTAGAGATGGACCAATCCGATATTACGTATCGGTATCGGTCTGATACTGACCTAAATTACTGGATTGGATATCGGAGAGAAATAAAAAAATGTAATCCGATCCATTAAATATCAAAAAAGCACCTCACAAAACTTGTGACATGGCGTAACTTGGCTCATAACCGTAGCACGTCGGAGCAGTGTGCTCACGTGATAGAGCGGCTGTGGTGTGCGAGACCTGTCAGCGGTCTGGTTGAGTATTTGGAGGCTCACTACCAATCCAAGAGAGAAGTAAAGCAAGTGTGTAAGTTCATCTCTGAATGTTTGTAAAGCATTCCAGCATTAAAAAACACACTATATCGGATTCATATCGGTATTAGCCAATATCCAAATTTATGATATCGGTATCGGCATCGGACATAAGAAAGTCATATCGTGTCATCTCTACTACTAATTATTTTAGCCATTTACCTCAGCATGACATGGGGATTAATGGGAAGGCTTAGAACAAGTTATTAGTGAGATACTCAATGATAACATTTCAGCATATATTTATAATAACTTTTTAGACAGTATTTGTCTTTAGACCACAGTTACTCCAATTACCTTGCAGTTTCTGTTTGTTTGCTTTGAGATGATGATGGTTTCCTCTTTCTCTGCACAGTGGCTATCCAGTGCTTCTAATATTTGCAGAAAATAACTTCCCTTGTTTGGTTCTCTGATGCATGTAGTGGAAGACCTTTGCTGTCCTTGGTACTTTTTAAAACCCTCTGTATTACACCGACATGGCATGTTTCTGGTGCATCTTCTTGTGCTACTATCTTGCAGGTCTAGTATGTTATTAGTTTGCAGTGCATAAGCAAGTGCCTCATTATATACTATTGTTCCATCCTCTGCGCAGTAGTTTTTTTAAAGACTCCCAAATCCACTGCTGACATTCTGATCCCTGTTCCTTGAAATCTAATCAATACAGCATTGTGTTGGATTGGAAACTTGAGGCCGTGTCTACAAGAATCTATTGATCGCTCTCCTTTTGTGCAGTTCCCTCTGTCTTTGCTGCCCCAGCTCTTCCGTTCAGGCCCGGATCAAAGGTTTTATCCTTCAGCGACGTTCAAGGTGTACAGTTCTACGCCAAGGTCTACTTTTCTGATCTGGGAGAAGGACTTGGTCAGTTGGGGGTTTGTGTTTTCATTGACCTTGTCTCTTCCCTGTGCTGCTGACATTTTTAGTATAACATGTGCAAATACATGTTTAGTTAAAAATAGATGGATTTCGGGAGGTTTGGGAGAAAAAGCAAGACTGATGGAAATTCCCTCTACATTGTGGAAGAAAGATTATTCTGATTCAGTGGTACCTGTCAGCTCATATTGTAAAATGTACTATATTATGCAGCAGAGATGAAACCCAGTACAGATTTAATCCTCAAGGGAAGGTCAAGAGAACACCTTTATATTCCAAGTATGTAGAGCTCTTTATTTTTTGCTTTAACATGCCAAGCAAGCTTTTTAAATTTTTTCCTAACCGTGCAGCGGCATGTCAGCTGGCCACTTAATTCACCACACTGTTTCAAAAATGACTGATCCAGCTGTGGGCTATTGGCAGAATAATTCTAACAGCAGCCATATCATCAGGTTGCCAGTCCAATCGCTGGCTGCCGCACCATGGGCCAAGAAAATCATTTAGTTAAAGGTGACCAGATTTGAGTCCCTCTGAGAGGTCTTTGATTGGATGTGAAGTGGAGGGGTGATTCATCATAGTTAATAAACGTGGTTGACAGCTCAAATCAGTGGGTGGGAGCATGTGCCAGGTCTGCCTCCCGCTGCTGCTTTATACTGCATGCAAAAATGGACAATTAACTTTTCACATACACAGCAGCAGACACCTACGCTGATTGTTATACACGGCTATGTGTGCACATCCAGTCAAGAAAGACTCGCAAGCAAAAATTGCACTGCAAAAATATAGCTTAAACTGCACAAGTTGGGAAAGATCAGTTTTCAAGAAAGAGTTGCGTGGGGCGGGGGGGTTGAAAGACTCTTTTATGCAGCGTGAACACCCTTTTTAGCCTCGTATAACAGTACACGTTAAAATAAACTTGAGCAGATGTTGCTTGCTGGAAGTGTAAATTGCATATATTTCTCTGAACCTAATACTACATGCCTAAAGATTTAGAAAAGTTCTCCACTTTTCAAATTTCACTTGGGTATTTGTGTATCCGTAGTGGAAGACTTGGTCTTCTCTGTCCCAATTTGGCTCTTGAACTAAAGAATTAGTAAGTTTACAGAGCCCGCTGTTGTAAAGGAACGCTGTGCTCTTCATTATGAAACGCAGACTCTTTAACAAAATAAATGCAAAAATTATTCATTTTTACAAATGTGATTAATTACCCAACCCAATGCTCAATGAGTGTAGCTAGATTCTTTTTCATAGAGGAGTCAGATACCTCTCATGGTCTATAGTCTGGCTTATTTTGACTTTCAGTCATTTAAATACTTTTAAAACTCTTCCAAAATTTAAGCCAATTTCAACCTAAATGTGTCCCCAAATCAGCGCTCACAGAGTTGCCTGCTCCTACCTTTAATATTGCGTCACTCACCATACTCAAATACATTTAAACAATGTTTTAAATCGTTCAGGATAAAATTGATTTAATACAGTGTAGTTAATAGTGATGTGTTATAATCACATTGTGTTTCGCTCAGCTGGCTGAGGCGTGACTGACCACTGGCAGGTGTGCCAAAGCTGCAGCCTTGTGTTAAGCTGCTGCTCTAAGCCCTCGGCTGCACACAGTCAACTCGCAGGATTAACTCGCCTCGGCTCCAGCCGTCAGGGCTTCCACTTGTGTCGGTGTGTCTTAATGGAATTTCATACTCTCCCAAAGCAAATGGGACTGCAATGAGCTATACCATTTCATTCTTTTATAGGAGTGGATTTGTAAAGTTATTCTGCTTCCATTGCTCGAAATCTTTGGAATGTTTGACCTCTTATGGACTTGTTTAAATCCAAGAATGGCTTTTAGGAATTATTTTAGTAATTATGCGGTGACTTTTTTTTGTTTTTATCTTTGAGGGAGGGCAGCATCACACTGTACTGTACAAAACCACTGGTGTTACTTGAGTATTTGCACTGTATGTATGTGTTTTCTCCAAAACCAGTCCAACAGTTGATTTGGAGATGTTTAATTTGCAAACTCATTAAAAGTCACGGTCCTACTTTTTTGTTTTTCAAATCCTGAGTATCATTGTCATCTTATTCTGTTTGCATCTTGCAGTAGTTAAACTTATTAGTAGTAAGCTGGTTGTGATGATCATGCACATCTTCTCAGCTAGCTGTGAAACCTGTAGTGTAGTGATATCTTTTCTCAATAGTCTAAAGTCTCTATTTCTACTAAACTTTTTGCTTCAGAGTAGCACGGCAGTACAAATTTCCTTTCCACGCTCTGTACACATTTTCATTTCCCCATTGGTCAATTGGAAAAGGAATTTACACTCTCCCCCCTGTGATCGTGTTTGTCAACAGCCACAGCGCGTCTGATTAAAGCTGTGTCTCTAACTAACAAACAGCTGTCTTTGGAGAATAATAGCTTTGCCCCTTTTCTCTCTCCTTTCTCCCTTTGTGCTTCTCCTTTTGATCACAGAACAGCAGCATCCCTGAAAAGCAAACACAGCCTTAAACAGACACACATAACCAAGAACTGAGAGTGCACCCCCCACTCCCACGCACACACACACACATGCACACAAATGTTGGGGAATGCATGCACCCGCTGGCACCCATACACACACAGACAAGCATCCAGCTGAGCTCTTGTTCTGTCTGAGTCTTTGCTCTCCATGATGTTAAATGAGGGCATTGATACATAAATTTGCATTTGTTTCATCCACAACCGTTCCTCTAACGAAAAACCCATAACTGCGTGCCCCCAATTTTCCAGGCAGCGTCAGATTCTTCCTTTCTTGACTTGTTTAATTGTCAGGCTAGTGTGATTGTTTGATTTCATTTGGTTTTATGTACACCTCTTCATTTATAAGTTAGCCAAAGAGTGATCCTCACCAACACAACTGTGCACTTTGTCGATTGGTAGTATGGGTAAAAACCAGCCAATTGTTCCTTAGTCACATAGATGTCAGTCGTGGAGCTTGCTGCGATCCCTCTGAGCAGGTACAGAGCAGCATCTGGACCAGCTGTGATTACCTTGATTAAAGAGCTTCTTCTTTCTGTTGCCTGCAGATAAGAACTATACTCCCTCAGTGATGTGACAGGCTACAGTTCCTCTTTCCTTATTCTCTTCTGTAGCACACTAAGCTGTCCTAGACTTCTTCCTTTTGTAAAACCTAGCATCACAAGACGCCTGGCTCCTTTGTGCTCCTTCTTCCTACCTAGAAAACACCCTGAATGATGTGAATGCTCACTTCTGGTTCTTGTTCTCCTTTTCCCTTTGATCTGTAAGCTTCCCTTTTATCATCTTGACCTCCCTGTGACCTTTGTGATCCCTGATGGATGTTGATTGGTGGTCCTGAATGAAGCACATCTCTTACAGAGGGTGGGGAACCTTGGAGCACCTCTGCCACTTCGGCTCTGGGCAGGGGGGGCACCCAGGGCAGGTTTTCCCAGGGCAGAGAGCCTGCTCTGGGCAGAGGGAGCCCTTCCTCCACGGAACTTCAGGATCCCAGTAGAAACAGGAGAGCTCATCCCAATTGGGCCATTCTGGGTAATGAAATAGAGTTGTGTGTGTGTGTGTGTTTGATCATGCATGATGTTTTCTAGAGATAAAGTAAGAGTGTTTTCAGTTTGTGATGTTAAAACACTGTGAAAATAGTAGCAGCAGCAGTCGTGGTTGCACAACTTCAGGGTTTATCTGTCATCTAATGAGGTTTCATATTTAAAAAACTAAATTTGATTGTAGTTTAAGTTTATTACGGGAGGCTGACTACATTACATCACTCTTGATTTGCCTCATTTTGCAAATTATTAAATGTCATCTTTGTGTATACCCATGAGACTACATGTTTGAATGTTTTTTTGCACTTACCACAGGGAACCATATCTAAACCAAACAAAAACTAAGATGTTCTCGGTGTCTCGTAGTTCGTATTTTTATTTAATGTAAAAATATAATAGAATATAATCAATTTTACTCTGTTATATGAGACTTAAAGTCAATTTTCCTTGGATCTGTTAAGATATTAATACTGATTTCATCCACACTGGTGAGTGATTATGCCAGTTATAGAATTCACTCGGGACCATATGAGAGAGGTGTCAGTCCAGTCTGTCCGTCTCTCTGCTTAGTCAGCTGTGTCAGGAAGAGCTGACATGTCCTTCAGAAGAACTTCCACAACAGATGGAAAACCCAGGAGAAGATATGGGTAGGGATGGGGAGGTGGCAGAAGCCAGTGAGAAGTGGGAGGGCTGAAGAAGAAGAGGATGTGTCATATTTTGATATTCCCACTGTGCCATTTTGGCTTATGAATTTCCATTTTAGAGGGCAGTCAATGTCTGTGACTGCTACATTAGTTTTATGGCCTAAAACAGCTTATTGCAGGCAGCGCCAATGTATATGCGAAATATTTCATTTTGCATCAGAGCCTGCTGAAAAGTTACTTTGCTAAGAACGAATTTGCAATTCACCGCATTTTGGAGTAAATATCCACCCGGAGTGCATATGTACTCACAAATATAGCCACGTGTCATGCTAATAGATTGTCTGGCTGGACTGGAAATCATGATCATTTATTACTGACACCATCACATGTGTGGGTGCACATCTGTGTGCTTGCACAACCAACCAGAGACGTACACTCACTGGCAAATACACATACGCGCTCCAAGTCTTGCTGTAGGGGGATAACGGCAACGAGCTGAATGAGGCTGAATCATGCTGAATTGTGTGTTCTGACTAAAACCTCAGGGGCAGTATGCATCTTCTCTCTCTCCTCTTACCTCTCCTGATTTCAGCAGGACTTTTCAGTCCACTGGCTTTTATGCACGCTTTTCATTAAGAGAAGTACGACATTTGAATGAGCAGTGAAGTTCTACCTGTGTCTGCATTTGAGAGCTTCCTGACTTGTTTCCTTTGTAACAGAAAAATGAATGTCTGCATGAGATGCAGAACTGCAACATCACCAGGCTGAAAGAAGTAAATGACCAGAGTGGTAACTTGTTAAGCCATGTTGAGTAGTTCACGTTATTACACATAATTCACACTGTGTTACAATTTTTGCAGTGTTTAGAATTGTTTTTCAGCCTTGAGTAAAGTTTGTCTGTTTTTCCCTCTTAATCTGTGCTTCAGCATCTGACCTTAAAATACAGCCCTACAGCTAGAATCACAATGAGCTGCACCGGTCAAGTAAGCCGACACACACACATGAGAACTCTTACTTTTGTAAAGAGGTCTCAGCATAGGAGCAAACTTGGAGGAAGATGTTAACACGTAACAGTTCTGCTTGACTACAGAGTACACTGAAGGAAGCTGCTAGTTCCATGGCATTGTTCATGCTCTGCTAAAAGAGACACTATAGAGCATGGATGTCAAAGTCATTTTACATTGTGAAGACCAGTGAAACTCCCCTTTCTGTCAGTGTTTTAAGGAATTTAACTGAGGGAGTCAATGCGTGGTAACAGCATGTCTGTTTTTCTACATGGTAAATAAATCCTTGTATAGTAAATGGAAGAAATCTGTCAGCACAGCACTTTGGGACTAAACTGTGACCAATAAAAGTGTAAAATTACAGAAGAAGTAACAGCCAAAACTGTTTTGTATTAATGAAACTAAGTAAATAATGTTTTTGCATGATTATTATTATTTTTTTTAACGATATGGACCAATTTTAAAATATAGACATTTCTATTGTAGATGGTGAAAAATCAGAGACTGTCATCTATTCCTTAATGACTTTTCTAAAGCCATCCCGTGAGCTGGATTGGAGTCTTTCTGGGGCCCAGTGCTGGCACTCCGACTTCAGTAGCACTAATATAACGAAATGCTCAGAAAAAAGGTGGCTCTCTGTATAAATACTTTTGTTGCATATTCAGCTATGTGTACATCAAAATAGTTCTAAAAGCTTTATGGTTGTAGTTTGTTGTTCTTATGGTGGTCAGAGGGCCCGGTGGCGCCAGTGTCCGGCAGCCTCGCCTCTGTCAGTGCGCCCCAGGGTGGCTGTGGCTACAATGTAGCTTGCCATCACCAGTGTGTGAATGTGTGTGTGAATGGGTGGATGACTGGATACGTAAAGCGCTTTGGGGTTCTTAGGGACTAGTAAGCGCTATATAAATACAGGCCATTTACCATTTACCATTTGTTCAGTTTATAATGAACTTATTGAGTGGTCAGTAGTAATGGGTACTGACCAATCATGTTTAAGTGGGCTTTGGTTGCATGCCAGTAAACAATCCATGTGAAGAGCAAAAGCAGGAGAACATTTGTGATGCTGCATGTGAAAACCAGGGTTTTGTTTTTTGTTTGTTAAGTTTTTAAAACAAAAACCATACTTCATATATTTATCTTTGTTTATTTTCTATGGATTTTTTACATAAAGATGTCAAACTGTGTTCGTAAATGATCAAATTTTGCATTAGGGTTACAAGAAGCCATCACAATCACAATCCGCACGGCGTTATCGCACAGGCTAAATGCACAAATGTCACCAGCATCATTAAGGAGGCAGATTTCACTGGCTGACTGGGCTGCACCCATGTGTCGTGTGTGGCCACGCTGAGTGAGGGTTTATCCTCTCGTAGACAAAAGGTTTGTTTGATGAGGATTTGGAGCCAGATTGTATGTTTTTAATGTCACGCATAAGAAACTATTCAATAAACCCCCTTTTTTCAAACATAGATTTGAGAGATCTTGCGGACGGCGAAGTTAAGATAACAAACACAGGAAATATTGGAACGTCTGGTTGCTCTTGATTGGGCGATTGCTTGGCTGTTGTTTTACACAGCTGCGGTTCTCGGTCTGTGTCTATGGCTACTGGCTATTGCCTGACTATAATTTAGCTTTTTCATACATTTCTACGTTTTTGTAAACACTGATCAGTGCATGGGACAGGAAGTCTTGGCCCATATATCTGGTGAGAACAGCAGAAGCTCTAAAATATCGGGCTGCATGCCCAGAGTCATCAAACAATAGATGATGTGTTCCCCGACTGAAGATGATGTAAATGTATGTACATTTCTTAACTGTGTCTCACAGCTTTGTAGCACTTTCAAATGGGCACAACTGCTCCATCTCATTCTTTAGACACTTTTACTTTGACAAAGTGTCTCAGAGAGACGTGTATGCAAAGGTTTATACGCTCTCTCTCTCTCTCTCTGTGTGTGTGTGTGTGTGTGTGTGTGTGTGTGTGTGTGTGTGTGTGTGGGTGTCGTGTGGTGTGTGTGTGTGTGTGTTGTGTGTGTGTAGTCTCTGACAGTGTGAGTGAGTGAGTATTTATGTCTGTGCATCCTCAGGGATGCTGGTGTTCAGATTAATTAAAAACTTCAATCCCTCTGTTCTCTGACAGGAATATGGATGCGGCTGAGGGCTTAACTGTAAATACCGTTTCTCCAAAATTGTCATTTAAAAAGATTCATCATCTCAGGTAATAATTGTCGTTTATGGTGCTGCAGCGAGGATTTGAAAAGGAGAAATAAACGGACTTTGTGAACTGCCTTTTCATTTCTCCTGTAAGACACAGTTGTTTCAAGTCAAACATGACTTGGTTACTTTAGTTTTAATTTTTATACATGCCTTTGACAAAGAAGGCCGTACTGTGTAAACTGTCCCTCCATTTCATCATTAGTCTTTGAAAAATGGATTAATGAGGTATAACTGCTTAAAAAAATTAAATGACAAAGAAGAAATTAAGCAACAAAAAAAGCATGGTAAAAAAATAGATTAAACATAAATATTGCCCTCAGTAAGACAGCTGGGTATGTTAGCCCAAGGGAGACCAGCTGCTCTGATATCAAACATTAAAAGATTATCATTAAAAATGTATGTCAGACAACCTTAAATGCCACAATCAGGCCTGTCATTAGATTAGATCAGCTCAGAGTTCAAAAGTGTCATCTCAGTGAAGACTTTCTAACCACACCACACTTTTAACTGAATGCGAAAAGGTGGTTTAGTGATGCAACCATTTGGATGCATGACATCAGTGTTTCACTGCATCAACCACCTTGAGGATTTCTTTCTTGTCCCCAAATGCTGTCATGTGAAGAGCAGCCAAGTGTCAGATTCAAAACACAGCCGTCGGCTAGCAACTTCACTCTGGGCCTTTTTGTTCTTGTTCTTTTCAGGCAGGTCAGAATGCTTATGCTGCGAACTGTTCAACTTCACCGAAAGCGGTATGAGAGGGTTTCTTTTGCAAAAAAACACATCACCAAAAGAGGTTGAGTTGTGCAGTTCCCAGGGAGGAAGAAGGAGAAAGAAGGTGAGAGGAGAAAGTTGGAAAAGTCGAGTGTTAGTTCACAGGGTAGTCACAAATAACAAGCCCAGATACTTTTAATAATTCTTGAAGCAGTTTTAGACATTCTCGCTGGTATATGAGTCCAATTTTGAGAAAGTGGCTCTCAACATCAGTCTATTCTTTCAGTGGTTTAAGCTCGACTTTCAGTCAGTTTCAGACAACTTGAAGTGTTTAACATTGCAGTGTTTTACCTTGACTTTGTGATTGGAACAATGACCACCACTCTCTCTAATACAGTGCTATCCTTTTCCTCAAGTTT